AAAACGCTGGCTCTATGGCTTGGAAACGGGGATGAGCACCGCCCCCTAGAGTCGAACACGACTGGACAAAAATTGTCAGGGGGAACCTTTACCTTTACCTTTTAATCACTAGAATAGAGGTGTTGTACAATTTTGTCCTTTGTTTTCGAAGAATACTCTTTTCACATTTTTCAGTATTTCTAAGATTTAGATCTTTTAGGTTTTGAGAGCCATGGTTACATGAATGCAGCCTTCTCAGTGCCCGTGTTCCATAGCTGAGGTTCTCCTTCAAAGCATGGTGGTTCTCCCTCTGCATTTCTATAAAGTCTCATTCCTTCCTGGAACATCTGCTTTTCCTATGTTGGTCACTTGTGGCAAATAACAGATACTTCAACCATGAGCTCCAGACAAGCTAGATAAGAAATCAAAACGGATCAATTCAAAGCAAATTATACAGAAATTCATGCACCACTTGCTAATTCTTTTTGTCTCCCACCTAAGAGGCTTAAAATAATTTCTTTTCTATTTAATAGTGTCTGCTATTTGTAATTAATAATGCTGATTTTGCATCATTATTAATTGTTGGGGATAGCCTCAGCAATAGGGAAAATATCACATGGGTCAATGCTTCCTCTTATCATCTGCACACGGTACTCGGGTTTTTTTATGGAATGGGGAGAACAGAGACAGTTGTGGAGACAGACAGAATGGAGGAAGAGAAGATTGTAGGGATCTGAAGAAAATAAATGACACAAAGGAAGATAGGAGATAAAGTGGGGACAGGGAAAATCCTTATGGAAATGGAACTGGGCCGGTGGATTTAATTCTGGACCTCACCGACTGAGGAGGCCTCAGGCATTTAAAGGCTGTCAGGTAAGTTGCCTTGGCTTGCTACTTTTTACTCTGCTTCTGCCCCCCCCCCGGTCCAAACTGGTTGATTTAGTATTGCTTTGCTCTTCAGTAACTTTGGAAACCAAATGACAACAGAAAAAAAGAGACGAAAAGCAGTTCTGAATTAATAACAAATATACGCTGTTGCCATTCGCCATTCATCCTATGACTTCTTTCAAAGCAAATAACATATCAATTAATATTAACAATCAATACAAAGAATTAAAAATGCTCGCGAAAGCTTTCATGGCCGGGATCTAATGGTTGTTGTGAATTTTTCGGGCTCTTTGGCCATGTTCTGAAAGTTGTTCTTCCTAACGTTTTGCCAGTCTCTGTGGCCGCCATCTTCAGAGTGCTTGCCCTTCTCATGTTAATAAAACAAATTAAATTCTTGGAGCTGACTAATGATTAATAAATTATTTTCCCTTCTGACACTCCTCTGAATCTGCAGCTGTGGCGACATGGCAGTTACAAAACATTGTTGCTAGAAAAAGTCACAGCTTGCTCCAGGCGCGCTCCAGCTGCAGTACTCCTGCACCTCCACCAGCATACATGCACACCCACCTTCCCTTGCAGCCCATTAACACTTATTTGGGTGCTTCTCCATGGTGCCGACCGAGACTTCTTCAGCCAGCATGAGTATTTGGAAGGCCTTCTAGAAATCTTTTAGGTGAGACAGCCAAGACATTTATAGTACAATCCAATGGATATTTCCAGAAGTCAATTTCTTTCTGCCAAATGGAGCTTATTGCTAGGTAAGCCTCTTTGGGATGGCAGCATGAACAAATCAGGGATGCTCATCTATCTATGCAATTGGCACTTGGCAACAGGAACTATAGAAAAGAATTAGTGCATTAATCAGAGAAAATATTTATTTACAGGAATGCAAAAATTATATTACAACATTTGGAACCAAACCATCATGAATGATTTACACAAGAACACATGGATCCATGTAGGGGTGCAAAGAAACTTCCTACCCTACTTGTTTAAAATGATTGTGGCTTTATAAAGACTGTAGAAGTATAGATAGGTCATGTCACAGATTGAGGGTTCATTCCCGCTTTAGAAATCACTGTTGTAGACAAAATCCCACACCACCACTTAATGCAAGGATTTATAAATGTAAAAACCTGGTTGTTCTGATCAGATTGGATCGAATGGATGTCACGGTTCAACTGCGCTGGCTCTGTCTTTCCTGCACACACAGTGAGTGAGCACAGTGCTCAGCGCAAAGCAGAAGCCACCTGGCTCAAATTCCATATGGCTCAGGAGAAGAAGAAGGAAAAACCCTTTCATTTTATAATCATTGCTTGCACTGCAAAAGAGCCTACTTTGGTGCAAATGCTGTAATAAAGCAACGGAAAAGGGAGCACATATGAAGGTGCTGTGGCTTAAGGTGACAGCATATGCTTTGCATACAGTTTCAGTCCTTTAGGCTTTAGTCCAGTGGTTCTTAACCTTGGGTAACCCAGGCGTTCTTGGACTGCAAATCCCAGAAGCCCCAACCAGCATAGCTGGTGGTGAAGGCTTCTGGGAATTGCAGTCCAAGAACACCTAGATTACCCAAGGTTAAGAACCATTGCTTTAGTCAAAAGGAAGCTTTACAGCATGAAAGACCTCTTCTGGGGACAGCTGCCAATCAGGACATACACTACAGCACGAGACAGACCACTGGCAATTTCTCATTGTGGCTTAAATCCAACATGACACTTGTGAAATTACCTAAATTTTCAGGCCTCTATGGCCGCAGAAAAACTTGTGGTAGAGGATTTCCCAACCCTCCAAGAGCAGGTTTTTGGAGTACTGCAGAAGCTATAGTAGGGAGGGAAGACTGTGTCCCCCTCATGCTGGCTTTTAATGCTAGCAGATGTGTGGCCATTATTAATATGTCAAGGTGACTGAAGAATCCATTTTTCTAATTCGGGTATATCTACATTTTGGTTTTTAGGTTATTGGAACGGCAAGTTATTCTCTTGTCCGTATGTCTCTTTCATGTAAACTGTATGAATAACATGGAAAATTTGCTTTCTTACTAGCAAGCAGTACACGTGCTCTGTATGGCAGCTGAAAGATCTGTAGTTGTTATTCATGCCAAATGCTTGCACTTGTTTGAGATGACACAGCAACACATTGATGGGAAATAATTTTTCAATATTTAAAAACTGTAAAAAAAACCCAACAAAATTGATCTCCATGAAAATTACTCTTGAATTGTGTTGACTATAGTTTATGACTGTGAAGATCTTTTTGGTTTTTGAGGGCCAGGACTGTGGAAGGCACACACTTAGTGAATGCATGTTACCCCATTCAGGCACACGTCACCCCCATTCTCAACAGACAAGTACTCAGTGGTTTAGGCATCTGGCTGTGGAGCCAGAGGTTGGGAGTTCAATTCCCTACTCTGCTCCTTTCAGATTGATGATCCATAGGGTCCCTTCCAGCTCTGCACTTCTAACAGACAAACAATACTAACAGGTAGATTTGAAAGTATGAGCAGGAAGTACTAGCCCCCAGCCTCTCTCGTTATTTCCATGTGGTGAAGGACAATCTGAAGAGGAGACAGTCTACAGTGGACCCTCTACTTAAGGAATTAATCCGTATTGGAACAGTGGCTGCAAGTCGAAAAGCCTGTAGGTCGAATCTCCATTGACCTACAATGCATTGAAAACCGATTAATCCCATAACCAGCGGTTTTTATTCTATTTTTGTTCCATTTTGGGTTTTTTCTGGTCTGTAAGTCGATTCTCCGGCTTCAAGTCGAATCTAAATTTTGCAGCCAGAGAAGTCTGTAACTCGAAAAGTCTGTAAGTCGAGCCGTCTGTAAGTCGAGGGTCCACTGTACTAAATATGGCCTCTTCATGTGATCATATGAAATGCATGGAGAAACTCCACAAGTAGCAGCCAGTTTTCCCTTCAGACAATTCTTTGACCTATAGAATTAGTGACCCATTGTCTATACATAACATGGCTATATGTGAAAGAATGCGCATCCAGCTAGCAACCTGCCAGTGTTATGTATGCTCACTGACAGTATAGGACATCCTCTGGACCAGTTTGGAAATATTACTTTTTTGGACTACAGTTCTCAGAATTCCTAGCCAGCATGGTGCATGAAGTACAATTCAAAACGTAACTTTCCAGACTTTGCTCCTGACCATTGGAAAGGGACTTAATAATTGTAAGAGCCACTTAATAATTTTACTTGCATAACTTCCTTACATGTGCCAACCATTTAAGAACATATTCTAGCTATGGAAGCCTAGTGTCTTTATGTTGTTATGAATCACAACTGAACTAGGGTGGTATGAAAATATGAGAACAAAAGAGATTTGTGCTATTTTATCTTCAGAATTCTCAGGTCAATAACTCATTGCCTGGAGAAAATCTAGTCATAGCTGAAGAATGCCAGGGTACCTGTAAACACCTATTTGCATATGAGGGAAAATCCATTAGGTTTTTTGGGTGGTTGGGGGAGTTTATTTGGGGGAACTACAGAATGAAATAATGTGCAATCTTGGGAAGAATTCCAGTTTCAAGCATTAATTTGACAGAGCCTAAAACCTCAGGCATGAGAAATAATGACAGAGAAACACAGTGTATAATCTAAGGCCCTTTTTGCATCTTGCTGCAATGTCACAGACTTAAACAGGAAACTGTCAATGTTCAGTTAGCCTCTTCTGGGAAAAAACACCCAGTTAATTTGGGGTAATTTTACACCAGACAGACTATGGTACATAGATGTATGACTGGAAAGCTGAAAGGAAATCTATCATTCATAGCACTAAAAAGTCCAGGTAATGGCAATAAAAAAATGGGCTAATTTCAAAATCAGTCTTATTGAGATGAGAGCTATTGAAATGAATGGGACTTACTAATCACAGCTGTGCTAAGTTCCTTTGATTTCAGTGGGCCAACTCTTTGTAGGATTGGATGTAGCCCATGGATTACAGAGTAGATATGCAAACGAGCCAGTCATTCAACATGGCAGTAATTTTTCATACTTATCTTTCTGTCCTATCCAGAGTGTGATTATTAAGGCAGAGGAGCAAGAGAGGGGAATTTGTAATATAATAAAGCATAAGGGTACAATTTGAGAGTATTGAAATTAATTATAATTCCCCCTGCAATTGATTTGAATAGTACATGTATTGTGCACGAATCTGGCATACAGAAATTATATCCATTATCATGTAATGCTGTACTGAAAAATAACTCAGTCATGAATATTATTTGTCCTTCATTACAATCCCATCTAAGAAACACATTTGCTTTAAAACAGGAATATAAATACAAATAATTAAAATACTATTCAATATGTTCAATCATAAATCTTTGACAATCTCATTTCATTATGCTGTAAACATTTAAGTGCAATATCACCTGACTTTAAATATGATGAACCGTAAAACATGCTAATCATAAAAATAGCTTTTACAAATGTACATATGTATACAGCGTTTCCCTCGTTTTAAATATGCCTTTCCTATTATCATACAAGTAGTTGGCCTTATCTGACATCAAAATTAAAAAAATAATACCAATAATTAGCCAGGAGAAAACACATTTACAATCTAAACCATAGAAATCTGACAGTTGTACAGCTTTAGAACATATAAGAAATGGAATTTCTAAGTTTTGAATGGCAATGTCCATTTCAAAAAGTAAATTCAGTTGTTCATAAAAACTGAGTCAAACGTGTTCTCAGCCGGCAAGAAACAGCAGGTCACATTTCACACAGGGAAGTCAGAGAATTCTCTTCTCAGTTTCGAAGAGAGCTGGATGTTATTGTGAATTCATTTGATCTGTAGAAACTACAAAAGAAATAGCATATTTTAGCTGAAAGCATTTTAAAGATGAGACAATGAGAGGAGACAGTGACTCTAACTCAATGTAACACAGGAGGAGTGCCAATAGATCTCCTTGATGTCTTTCCCCCTTGTTAAAAAGTAACTCTGGGAGCTGGTTTTGGATCTGTTCCCGGATTTGGTGCAGGGGTGGCTTTGCCCTTTCAGCCATATCAGTCTTTCCATTCAGATTGCCTCATCAAAAGCAGCTGTTAACAATGGAGAGAGAAAAAAATATATGAGCCTTTGTCTTTCTCCAGCATTCACCGCCTTCCACAATGTTTTGAATCATATGACTCTTTAGTGCAAAGCTGCTTATGAGTGTTTGAAACGTGGTCACTATTCAATATAAATGATATAAATGGTCCATTTTTGCAAATCAGCTCATTGCCACAAAGACTCTGTAATATCATGGTTGTTGTGGGGTTTTTCGGGTTCTTTGGCCGTGTTCTGAAGGTTGTTCTTCCTGACGTTCTGAAGGTTGTTCTTCCTGAACTCTGTCCAGTCCTCTGAAGATGCCAGCCACAGAGACTGGCGAAACGTCAGGAAGAACAACCTTCAGAAAATGGCCAAAGAGCCTGAAAAACCCACAACAACCATCAGATCCCGACCATGAAAGCCTTCGAGAATACTCTGTAATATAACCTCAACCATAACATTAATTACCAACATTATACAGTGGTGCCTCGCATAGCGAGGTTAATCCGTTCCGGATTAACCTTCGCTATAGCGAAACATTGCTAAACGGAATTAAAAAAGCCATAGAAACGCATTGAACAAAGTTCAATGCGTTCCTATGGCTTGAAAACTCACAGTTAAGCGATGTTCCTCCATAGCGCCGCCATTTTCGCGCCCTCGGTAATCACCTCAACCATAACATTAATTACCAACGTTATAGTGTTTTAAATGTCATGGCTATATAAAACCCCAGTGTGTTTACAAAAATAGTCTACTCTGAGAAGAGCAGACTGTTAGTGCAAATACTAAGTTCCCATTGTAAAAAAAATAAGTATACAATCATGTAGCAGGCTGCTTGACCCAACTTCTTGAAGCATAATAATGGAATCACGGAGACAAAAGCATCAGTGTTTTCTGTGCGTAAGTCAAGAAGCCAGTAGGACTGTTGCCATGTCATCCCAGCTTTGTAAACATGCATAAGTGCATTGATTTTTTTAAAACTGATGTCTGTAACTAAATCGCCATAGGGGCCATCGCTGAGCGAATGCTCCAGCGATGGCCCAGAGCGTCTCGTTAAGTGATTTCATCACTCAGCGAGGTGCTCGTTAAGCAAGGCACCACTGTAGTGTTTTAAATGTTATGGCTATATAAAACCACAGCGTGTTCACAAAAATAGTCTACTCTGAGAAGAGCAGACTGTTAGTGCAAATACTAAGTTCCCATTGTAAAAAAAATAAGTATACAATCATGTAGCAGGCTGCTTGACCCAACTTCTTGAAGCATAATAATGGAATCACGGAGACAAAAGCATCAGTGTTTTCTGTGCGTAAGTCAAGAAGCCAGTAGGACTGTTGCCATGTCATCCCAGCTTTGTAAACATGCATAAGTGCATTGATTTTTTTAAAACTGATGTCTGTAACTGCCTTTCAATTATTTATAGTGTGAGACTCAGAAGAAGGATTGCATTGTCTACATGAAGTGGTGCATCCTTCCCTTCTCTTAATCTCCCTCATGGATCAAAGACAGTCCCCACAGTAGTTACGTAAGTGGTGCTACAGCTTTCGCAAGAATAAAACCAGTGGCAACACTTTCAGCTCTAAAGAACCCTGCTCTCTTTTCCTGCTTTCTTGCTTGATTGTCCCTGTCTATTATACAGAAGACAAATACTGATAGATTTTCAGATTGCTCGTTGAAGATTTATTTATAAAACTGTCACAAGCACTAAAAAGCTTCCTTGGGTATGTTTACAAAAGAGTATTGTCAACCATCGAGATTCAAAATATGAATACCTCTTGGTATTGAGAAGTTGTGATGAACATTTAGTAATCTCAGCCACACAAGGGAAAATAGCTATGAATTTTACCCCTGAAGGGGATACTTGCTCTCTGATCTGTTTTAACAGGATGGGAAGAAAAGCTTCCATCTGATGCACTGTAAACCACAGAATAGTAGTGCCTTTATCAGGGTCAGCCAAAATGTCAGAAAATCACAAACAACTTCAGCATCTTAAGACACCCAAGTATAATTTCCAGAACGCCAGCTACCCTCCATACTTCCAGTGCTATGGATAGCTGAAGCGACCGAATACTTATTTTGATTTTCTTCTTCCTGCTCAGTTCCATACAATGTGGCATTTTAAAAACATATACATACATGAGATGACTAATGTATGCAAAAATAAGTTATTCTAGAAATAAATTATCCTCCTGTTGAAGATTATATAAAAAATTTGAGATCATATAAATGACACACTTAAAACAAAAAAAGATGAAATCTAGTTAGCTTTTAGAATATCATCTCATCTCTTCATAATGAAAAATATCACATGAAAAAGAAAATTCATTTTGCTTTAAAGAACCTAGATTATGAGTAAAAGCATAGGTATTGTACTGGTATGTCCTAGCTAGCAAGCTCTAGAATCATGAGGCTAAGGAGTTGGAAGGATCCATGTAGGGTCCAACCCCACTGCTTATCAAGGGAGACCTACTTCTAGAATTCTCTACAGATGTTTGGCAGCCTTAGCCAGGCAATCTTTTACAAGGGAGAGCCCACACCTCCGCCCAGGAAACTGGTTCCATTGCAGAAAACTTCTTACCATCTGCACTCTACTGTTCTGCAACTTCATGAGCTCTAAAAGAATCATAGAAATCATCAACCCCAGAATTCTATCTTAGGGAGATCACAGCAGTAGCTTATTTTGCCCAGTTAGAGCAGCCCAGGTATACGAGAAGGTAAACGCCTTGTAGAAAGGTGTTTACTCTGTCCCGGCTTAACGCACTACCTTCAGCAGTGCAGGAGGGATGGTATAAAAAGACCCCCTGGGCAGACCGCCTTTGCCCATGTGGAATGGAGCAGATAGAAACAACTGAACATGTCCTGTTGTGGTGTACATATTATAAGGACCTGTTTCCCCTTTGACTGGCCGATTTCCCGGCTGTACAGAGCAACAATGTATGCATGTGCTGCTGTCTGATTCCAATCCTATGTTTACACATAGTGTTGCCAAATTCTTTACCGCTGCTATGGGCATTAGAGAATGCATCCTAAAAGTGGATGAGCCTCCGTAGTCAGAGCATGGTTTGCTAGACATTTTGGAATTGCTCCAGGGGAGAAATATTGACACAGTTGTTGTTTACCTCAGAAACAACTATCGCTTTGTATTTGATCCCAATATATATTTTAGATGCTTTATTTGTGGCTGGTCTTTTGACCGTAATAAAGTTTTATCTATCTATCATAGAAACCATGAACTGAGATTCTGGTCAAAAAAAGGAACACTTCAAAACTCTGCTCCAGAACAGACAATACAGTAGGATCCCCTTAACTATGAGATCAGAATCCGCTGATTCATTAAGCCATGGTCTGTTAATATTAAAAATATTAAAGGAAAACCTTAGAAATATATGTTCCTAAAGATGAAGTCACCAGAACTGGCCACTAGAGGGACACCATAGCATTCCTTATAATCCACATTTTTCAGCATCTGCAGTGAGGAGGGTTTGAAACTTATCCCTCACAGATACAAGGGTTCTAATGCACTGGATTAAGTGAACAAATAGTCTGGCCTGGAGTGAGCTAGCTTCTTTTGTCCAGAGCTTTTTAAATTCATTTTTTTTCTTAGTTCTTTTTTGATGATAAAATGCCACTTGTACTGCCTTATGCCCACACAGCTAAAATAGTAGGTCAAAATGTTATGACTAACAATGTTTTGAAGGTTAAGGGTTCAAAAAGGCACAAGGTACCCTCACTGGAAGAAAACTTAAGGAAAAGGGAGATAGGTGTAATTTCCATGCTTGAGTAACTTGCACAATATTCAAAGAGGGATATTTTCTCAGGTGGTTTCCTCCAAGGCACCATAAAACATATAGGACATATGCTGTAAAAATTATTTGAGAAGGAACTGGATAAACTAGAAGTAGCTGAATGTCAAAGAGCTCCTAGGGGAGCCTGAAAAAAAAAGTATGTGTATGTGAGAGAGAGGGGAAAAAAAGAAGACAGGGAAAAGTAATAGTAGCAATGAGGAAAGAATATCAAAACTGAGGAACAGAAGCTGCTTCTAAGTAGGGCTCTTGGGTAAAGAATAAAAGGAATACATTTTCTGCTTTAAGTTTGCGTAAGTCGAATGACAATGAGATTTTGATGGGAATTGAAAATTAGTGGCATGAAAGTTCAAGCAAGGATCAATACATCCTTTGGATTTCTCCCCTTTATAATGATTTTCCTGTACCTGATATTAACTAACTCTACCATTAAATTTATTCTCAGTCATACTTCACTTTTCAACAATAAATTGCCAATTGAAAATATAGCTGTAAAGATGCATTATGGGATAAAAAATTGCTCAGATGCTCAGGTGTTCATATTTAACTCCCTATGCTTCTCTCCATCTTTCAGTCCACAAACTCTTGTACATGAACATCCTCCTCTACTTGCCTTCCGCTATAAAATATAACTGCATCAAATCATTCATTTGAACATCAATGAAACAGGAAATTCTCCATTAATCAAGAAATCCAAAAATGATAAAAAGCAGCTCTTCAGTGTTGATATATAAATAAAAAATATTAATAACCTCAGAAAGTCAGCAGTTTCATATGGTAAAGACAACTCCTGGTTACTTTCAGGCGAAGATTAAGAATGTAGAATGGTTTGAAGATTGCAGCCTTATCTGGTTATTTAAAAACGGGTTAATTTGAACATATGACCTGTGAAAGAAGGCTTGATCAGACAGGCATTTGCCCCACTGTTTGGTCTGCTGTGGGGGCAGGTTGGTTCGCTCTTTTTTCTGGTGATCAGATTAACTGATTGCTAGAGCAGACCAAACCTTCTCCAGAGCACCCCTACCTGAAACTTTCTGAGCAACTGTTCTATTATTTTATTTGGTGTGGGTAGTGACAGAACAGCCCACAGTCATTTCTCAAGAGTCTGAAAGGTTCCTTTACCTAGTTTAAATCCAACTGTCTCCCCACCCCTTCCCCAGCCATGATGGAACCCGTGTCAGTCCCTTGGGGCAACAGCTAGACACTTTGTA